CTTAATTTAAGTTTAATAACAAAATAATTTATTTTTGGTTTAATAATATAACATTTTATAAATATAATAATTAAGTGTTCTATTATAACTCAATGATTATCTTAATTATATTTTAGATTTTTTATATTTAAAATGAGATGTTTATCCTGTATTTGATTATGTTTATCTGTAGTTAGTTACACGAATTCAGATATAGAGCTTTAATAAGTTGTACTTACGCACAATCGACTTGTAATCTTGAGTTTTAAGTAATATACATTAATAAACAGTACTCTACGCATAAAAAGTGGTTTGTAAGAGTTTTTGTCAAATGTTTTATAATATAGTATAGATATACAATTAGTATATCAATTTTTTAATTTATTAAATGACATTTTTATCCTTAATAATAGCATAAATAATGATTTTATTCATACTACAATCAACGGTAGAATTGGAAAATATGTATTGATTTTTAAAAGTGAACACTTATTATCAGACAAAGTAAAATAAAATTCTAAGCATTTATTTTGAGATGAAAGTCTTGAATATCATTTATTAATATAAATATCATTAAAACTCAAGGTCAAAATTACAGTCACTTCATGTTTAAATTAAGGGGCAGTTTACCTAAATGCTTACCCTTAGGAGTCAACACTGTAATTTATTTTACTGGGTAAGATTGTAGTACATTAAAATGATATCGTATGTAACAATTTACCTAGTAAGCGTTTATTCGGGTAAGAGTCGTTACCCTCACTTACCGAGTAAGACTCTTCATCTTTATAATTGTTTTTACCGGGTAAGATTTTTTACCCTTGCCATGTTCATCCGATAAGGAAAATTACCCAGTAAACGCTTACCGGGTAAACGTTTAGTAAACGACCCCTAAATAAAACTTACTGAAAACCAATTAATAGACTAATGGGGCCGTTTACCAAACACTTACTTGGTATAAGTGCTTACCGATAAAATTTAACACTATTATTTACGTACCGATAAGATTTTAGTCCACCAAAACGACATCCTATGCAACAATTTACCCTGTAAACACTTACCATGGTAAGAGTCGTCGTCCTCACTTACCGGATAAGATTAATGGTCTTTGTCTCGCTCTTACTGGGTAAGATTTTTGATTCTTACCATATTCATCCGATGGGGTAGCATGACTTGGTAAGCACTTACCCGGATAAGTGTTTGGTAAAAGACCCCTTAAACTACATATTTTTTTTGTTAAATGGCATGAAAAATGAAGGTATTTTTATTTAATTCTTATTTTAAATCCTTATTTAAAATACTCATTTTACAAGTCTACAGTTCAAAAAATGTTTTTTAAGGATTTATAATATAATATTATTTGTTTTACACATATTTTTTTTAAATACATAATTTTTTTACCATAATTATATCAGGATTAGATATTAAAATAAAACATATTTTAAATTATCATTATAATTAAATTTATATTTAAACAAAATATATGTATATTGTATTTTATACCTTTTGTCCACTATTTTAAGATGCCATTTGGTATTTATCCTGATAATTTAATAATGAATGAAAATATTTAAATTATAAAAATATTACTATAAAATATAAGATATACATCCTAGCATGCCAAAAGGATACACATGCCCCCCAAACATTTCTTTTTTTTTTAAAAAAAATGCCCCCTTTTCAAATTGTGAAGATAAACATACACATCACACTTGCCCCCTTAATTACACTTTTACTGTGTTTATTTCTAGCAGGGGCCAACCTATGAAACTTTGAGTGGGTCCCTTGTACCCCTTCAAAACTTGTTTTTGTAAGTAAATTTTTTTATTTTTTTTGATATAAAGGGTTGTTTGTTTACCTCTTAATAGTTCTATTAAGATGCAATTTTTGAATCGTTAAAAGGTGAATCTTGTTTTGAAGAAAAAAAGTTTGCATTTTAATGATTCTAAAACCCTCTGAATGATTTTGTATCTTGGGCCTCCCTTAACCATTAAGAGCTCTAATTTCATTGTAAACAATTACCAAACAATTATATTTCATTTTGTACTATATCATGAGAGCCTCTTAATCATTCTGACAACTTAATGATTCTGGACAAAACCATTCAGCAACTGCCAAACAGCCCCTAAAAGTTGCATTGATTAAATTGGAGTGTGATTTGGTATATTAGAAAGTCAAAGAACATCAATCAAAAACTCAGCATTAAACAAAAAACCAAAAAGATCTTTCGAAATCAATCAAAAACTGGAAAAAGTCTATCAAAATCAATC